AAAAATAAAGCACCGAAATGTGCGCTGCTTTTCGGTCTGGTTACTACCGTTTATGTCAGAACCGGTGCCATAATGGATACGGATACCGGTACCCATCCCTACCGATAACCAGACTTCACATCAGTCTTCATAGTAAAAGAGCAGTTGGCAAGACTGAAGAGGGTCAGCAGCAAAACCAAGACCAAGCTCATCATTTTCTTTGACACTCATGAGGTTGTGAATTATGAATTCATGCCCAAGGGTCAATTCTGTTTAAAGCCAGGGCGCGTCTTTTTCTCCAAAAACAAAAAGAAAACAAACTGAAGTTCAAGGTTCACCATGTTGACAAAACCAAGACTACACTGCAGAATGGGGCTTCCAAGATTTCCAAGGCTCTTTTTTTGACTAGTAGTGAACCCCTTTTAGTGAAAGATATACACAAACAGAACCATAAAAAAGGTTTTGATTGTTGTGGTTGGATGGAGTGGATGGAGTAAGAGTTGCCATTCTTTCAAAGGACATTTTGAGGCCATTCTTTTCTCCACGCTAATTATATGTAGCAAAAGATAATTAATGGCCTAATTCGTCACACGGTAGCCCACACACTCCAAGTTACGCAAGTATCGTGCTAACAGATGTAAACACATCCTTAAAAATGTTTGCCTTGCCCATACAGGAGGAAAGTACAGACCGAAGTGCTGCTGTAGCTGTGATTCACTGCAAGGGAACGCTGCATATTTAGTGATCAGTTGACTAAACATACAACACAGTGAAGTGAGGCCTGAGTGCCAGCTGGCAACACAAACCGCCCAAATCAAGATCAGCAATTCCAAGAGTAAGGCTGAAATGTAAATCAGTTTTTAAAAAAAAGATTAAAAAGTTAAAAGTCGTTAAAGTATATTCACTTAGGGTACTTTTACCAGCTATTAAAAGTACTAAGCAAAACACTGCAGTAGCTCACACATGTCAGTGCTAAGTTATGGCAACATTTATGGATGTCAGAGAAACTGAGGTGGAACGATGATGTAAGTTTCCCTGCTGCTGCAGTTTCTTCAGCATCTTTTTCTGTGCTTGCAAACTATTCTGTTGCGAATATTTGTTCATATTGCAGACATTTTGATATCCTGTTCTAAAATAGTGCACATGCTTCTTTAGATTTTTTACAAAGATGGAGAAAAGACATGCTGAAGAATGAGTTACTGTGACAGTCAACAAGTGCTGGCAGAAGGGAAATTGCCAGATTTCTCTAATTTCTTTTCCTTACAATGTAAAGTATCATTGAGTACTTAGAAGTGAGCAGTTTATTAGAATGTTTCATAATATTAATATTAATGCTGTCAGCATTAATCTCGTTAAAATGATGTTAATGCATAACCGCATTAGTGCGGCAAATCTCTGTTAGCTAGTTAACGTTGCCCCGTGCGTGGGGCTGCATGGCGTGAACGTGTTAGCGCGGTTAGCTAGTTACCGCATTAGCACCGTGCAGCCCCACACACAGGGCAATCCACGTTAACTAGCTAACAGAGATTTGCTGCATTAATGCGGTTATGCAGTAACATCATTTTCACGAGATTAACGCTGACAGCACTAATATTAATATATATGTGTGTATTTCCAGTTAGTGCTCTCACTGTGTTTACTGGTCACTTGGTCTTGTTATGGTTTAAAGTATACAGCTGCTAACTGTACAGATTAGCATGTCATGGTGTTATATAACAATAATGAGCTTAATTCATATTCATTTTTTGAAGCAGGTCAAATAAAATCAGCCACATGGAGAGACAATCAGTGGGATTCTGCTAATGCAAAATTAAAATCCATTTATTCTTTTAAAGATGCATACAGAGCCTCGTTATCGTCCTTGTGAGGCGCTTGCTGTCACTCGCCTCTGTCAGTGCGCCCCAGGGCAGCTGTGGCTTCAATGTAGCTTGCCATTGCCAGTGTGTGAATGGGTGTGTGAATGGGTGAATGACTGAATGTAGTGTAAAGCGCTTTGGGGTCCTTAGGGACTGAGTAAAGCGCTATACAAATGCAGGCCATTTACTTATTCCATATAGGAGAGAACATATATCATGTGTTGCTGTGTAATAACATATGCAGAGACTGTGAAGGGAGCCTCTCAATAATCTGGTATTCGAGTGAGGGGAGACGAAGCCTGAGCTGTTGTGCCTGAGCCTTTGCCTCTGTCTGTGTCACGAAGATTTACAATAAAGCTCAAAAACACTCAGTATGTGGGCTGCTGCATCAACATAATCTGAATTTTACTGAAGCAGCTGTACAGCACATACAGCCTGAGGCTATACTGAAACGAAGAGAATTCCTAGGACAGGGTTCCCTTCCCATCCAACTTAAAGATTGTGTTTTGTGTGTAAAGCCATAACTGTGGTGTTCCTCATAAAGAATCTGCTGCTATACTGGAACAGCGCTGAGTGGGAGCCAGAATCCATGACTGCTGTCTGTTTGTCTAAACTTAGTGAGGAAATCCTGTCTTATCTTCTAAAGTTCAGAGATGCCACCTTTGGATTTAGTCATGATTTCTAATAATAGATATTCTGGTGCCCAGCGCTGCAGTTTTTACTGAATAAAAGCAAAGCAGTAACTCAAAAAGGCTTCAATCTGGAAACCAGTTAGGAATTTTTGAATAATTTCAATTAAAATCTGTGGATCTGGAAAGATTTGCAAGTTCTCTTACTTAGAAATCATGGAGGGGTCTAATATTTTCAGCAGACGTGCATTTCCACTGTGAAACACAGAATCTAAAAAGAAAAATCCAGAAATCACATTGTATGATTTTTGAACAATTTATTTGTGAATTACTGTGTTAAATAAATATTTGATCACTTAAGTCAAAAAATGTTAGATATTGATACAGAAGCCTTTGTTAACAATTACAGAGGTCAAACGGTTCCTGTAGTTCAGGGAGGGATTTTGTCCCACTCGTCCATACAGATCTTCTCTAGATCTGTTAGGTTTCGGGGCTGTCGCTGAGCAACACGGAGTTTCAGCTCCCTCCAAAGATTTTCTATTGGATTTAGGTCTAGAGACTGGCTAGGCCACTCCAGAACCTTGATATGCTTCTTACGGAGCCACTCCTTGGTTTTCCTGGCTGTGTGCTTTGGGTCATTGTCATGTTGGAAGACCCAGCCACGACCCATCTTTAATGCTCTGACTGAGGGAAGGAGGTTTTTGCCCAATATGTCACAATACATGGCCCCATTCATTCTCTCCTTAATACAGTGCAGTCGTCCTGTCCCCTGAGCAGAAAAACACCCCCAGAGCATGATGCTTCCAGCCCCATACTTCACAGTAGGTATGGTATTATTGGGATGATACTCATCATTCTTCTTCCTCCAAAATGGCGAATGTTCTACTTTGGTCTCATCTGACCACAGGACTTTCTCCCATGACTCCTCTGGATCATCCAGATGGTCCCTGGCAAACTTCAGACGGACCTGGGCATGGGCTGACTTAAGCAGGGGAACCTTCCGTGCAATGCAATTTTAAACCATGACGTCTTAGTGTATTACTGATAGTAGCCTTGGAAACGATGGTCCCAGCTCTCTTCACAGCATTGACCAGCTCCTCCCGTGTAGTTCTGGGCTGATTCTTCACCATTCTTAGCATCATTGAAACCCCACGAGGAGAGATCTTCCGTGGGGCCCCAGTCCGAGGGACGTTGACAGTCATCATTAGCCTCTTCCATTTTCTGACAGTTGCTCCAACAGTTGTTCTTTTTTCACCAAGCTGCTTGGCAATTGTAGCCCTTTCCAGCTTTGTGAAGGTCTACAATTTTGTTTCTTGTGTCTTTTGACAGCTCTTTGGTTTTGCCCATGTTGCTACTTAGACTCTGGCTGATTGTGGGGTGCACAGGTGTCTTTATGACAGCTAACGACCTCAAACAGGTGCTACAAATTTAGAATCATGAGCAGAGTGTAGCTGGACTATTTGAAAGCAAAATAACAGATCTTTGAGGGTCAGAAATCTGGCTAATAAGCAAGTGATAAAATACTTATTTGACACAGTAATTCACAAATTAATTGTTCAAAAATCATACAATGTGATTTCCGGATTTTTCTTTTTAGATTCTGTCTCTCACAGTGGAAATGCACATATGCTGAAAATTGTAGACCCCTCCATGATCTCTAAGTAAGATAACTTGCAAAATCACACAATAATTATTGACCTCACTGTATTTTGAAAAAAAAAAGTTATTTCTGAAGAGAACTCACTCTCTCCTCCTCCTCTCTGAGGTCGGGCATGGTGCTGACACACAGGGTCACAGCAGTGATGGCTACAAATAAGACCGAGAGGCAGGCGAAGATCTTCCCTGGAAGGCCTGAGTGGGGGTTCTCCACCATGTCCCTCAGCCTCCGCATGCAGCCTCCTGAAAAGGTCTCCTCTGGTCCTTCCACAGGCTGCTGGGTCTCCTCGCAGGACTGCGGTGAGTTGAGCTCGGCCCCCTCCTCCTCCTCCAGCCTCTGCTGCTCTTTGTACTCCTCCTGCCTTAATCGCAGCTTCCTGAGGCAGCACCAGTCCAGGTTGTTCTCCTCCACCCCCCAGTACAGCAGCTCCTCCTGGAAGGACAATGCACACATCTCCCTCAGGAGCCTCAGTTTTCCCGCTGCCAGGAAAGTCACGATGATGCGGAAAGCTGACGGGTTTCGGTCGAAAAAGTACTCGTTGCAGCTGCCGTCGTAATCATCGCACACGTCCATGATCTCTGCTTCGTTGCTACAAGCCCGTAGCTTCCCCAGTCTCGTCAGAGGGAACTCATCCAGCGTGGACCAGGGGATGTGGTACTTAATGCCACCCACATTGATGATGGCTGCCCCATCCGCCAGGTCAATCTCACCTCCATCCTCTCGGTGAGACTGAGGCTGAAGCAGGAGCTGAGCGCGCTTATAGAACAACCCCTTCTTGGATGTGACCTCTTGTGGGTTCTCCAAGCGTTTAAACTGGAATGTGGTGAACTGGTGATCAGTGTTCCCTGCCAGGAAGGCCACCTCCTGGTACATCCCTGCAGCTCTGCTGGGGGAATCCTGTCCCGCACGATGCAATGGGAGGTGGTTTCACAGGGCTGGTGACGTGAGTTGCAGCTCGTCACCCATTCAGCAGCACAGCGCGTCTCTGTATGACAGAAAAGACAAATATCTAAGTGACATCAGGTACATGCTCGTGGGCAATGCAGAGCAGTTAGACAGGTTTGTGAAGGTCAGACAGCAACTTTGATTTCATTCTTCGCATCGTCATCACTTTTTATTTGCATACAGCACTAAAATGTATCAGTTCATCTGAACGTAACAGCAGCAATTAGTAGATTTACTCAAAGGTGAATGAGAAGCCAAAGTCAGAGTCAAAGATGGAGGAAGCTAATGAAGCCTATTAGATGGTGCTAGGTGCTCAGAGAGTACTCTGCTTTGAATTATGTACAAGAGGAAGACAGAGGATTACAGAAGTGACTGACATTACTTATTGCATTTGATTGCACAGAAATGCTGGTAGATGCATGTGTGTACGGGAAGTGTTTTTTTTTTTCCGTTGTCTCGCATGTCTACCCGTTTTCCACTATCCTACACAAAAATTACGTAAAAACAGATGACCCACTTAGAAGCATCAGCAAACTAATTTACCTATTTAAGGGGCTTTTATGAAATCCTGGGAGAGGCCCAGAGAAGTGGCATGAATGAGTATGTTTTTCAAAAGGAAACAGTCATAAAGAGAACATGCAAACTCCACACAGGAGATCCAGAACTACCCACTGAGAAGTAGTGGAAACTAATGTGTCTGGGGAACTATTAGTGCTTCAGAAAGTTCCCAGTCTTTGGAAAACTTCCTGGCATTATGAAACTGGTAACTCACTTTTTTCAAGCTGACCTCTCTGTACTTGTGACTTATATCATCAGCCTAGCCAAGTATATTTTAAGCTGCAAGAATAAACCAAGTAATAGCTGCAATCATGGCTTTTAACTCCTTTTCTGGCTGGCCTGAAGATGGAACACATAGATGAAAAGGTTTTAAGAAAAAAAACACCTCAGTCAAGAGTCAGGTTTTTTCCATAGCTGTATAAAATGATGTGGAGTCAAACAGCAGCGTAAGCTCATAGAACAGCAACTAGAGTTCATGCTGAGGTTTGAAATCAATGCAGAGAAATGAATAATGTTTTTCTATTCACTGCATCAGCAGGCTGTGAAACTAAGTTCGCTTTATTATCCTGTAGGAAATGTAGAACATCACACAGGCCCAATCACAGCACGCTGAGACGAACACGAACACAGGAGAGGATCTACCTACAACACATGACATTAAAATACTGTTCAATGTTTTATCTTCATCAAAGTGTTTTTTTACTGTTTTTGTCATGGTGAATTGGGTTAAAGGACTCGGGTGCGAGACTCCTTGCAGAGTGACAGTGAATTTTTTCACAGTGAAAAAATAAGTCAACAGTTCGAGTCTGTAATCCAAAAAGGGCAATGCAGTGATACGGTGGCTTCTCCCCGTGGTGACAGTGCAGTGACAATCCAAAATAACTCCTTGTGCCCGCTCCTCCTCCGATCCCTGGATCCTGGAGGCAGATGAGAAAAACACACGCGCAGTAACAAAAACGTTCTCTCCTTCACAAACTAGGTATGCTAATCGCGACTACACTACCCGGTTTAGCTCAACGTTCCAGCGTTGGTTGTGACTCGACTGCACCGTTAAATAGGTCTGCTTCGGATTAGCAGTATCCAGCAAAGTGATTAAGCACAGGTGCGACGATTCCAGCTCAGGATACTCCCCCGGGTCAGCTGCTGTTCCGTGCCACGGCTTCCGGAAGTACACGTTCCAGCATACAAATACACATGCACAGGATGGAGAGGAGAACACCTCAAAGTACACACAGACACAACAAAAATTGGCAAGGCGACCGGTGAGGACCGTCTAGCCGTGACAGTTTTACCTCAAATTAATGAATTGATTTGCATGTGAGTGAAATAAGTGTTTGATCCTCAAGCAAAATATGTCTTAGAATTTGTTGGAGAAACCCTGGATGGAAGCGTTTCTCGTAGTTGATCGCCAGGTTTGCACATATCAGTTTCAGCTCCCTCCACAGATTTCCTGTAGGACTGAGATCGGGAGACTGGCTCCATAACTTTAATGTGCTTATTTTTTAGCCATTTTGTTGGCTTGAGGGTATGTTTTGGGTCACTGTCACGCTAGAAGGCCCATGTAAGGCCCATCTTCAGTGTTCTGGCTGAGGGAAAGAGGTTCTCCTCCAAGACTTTACAGGGCATGGCTCCATCCACTGGTACCTCAATGAATGAATGAATGTTACCATGTAGCCTCAGCAGAAAAACAGCTGCAAAGCTGTGCTTGACAGCGGGGATAGTAGTCTTTGGCTCATACTTACCATTTGTCTTCCTCTAAAGATGGCAGGTCAAATTGATGCCAGTTTATTTGATTTTCGGTTTCATTCGACCACATTGCATGGTTCCAGATTAATCACATCAACCTTTGTCACCTTCTCACTAAGCCTCTTGCTGATGTTCTTGTAGCCCATTACAGTCGTGTGAAGTTCTACAGTCTTGTCCCTGACATTCTTTGACAGCTCTTTGTTCTTGCCCATGGTGCTGGAGAGGTTGGAATGG